GTTTCTTTTGTGTTTCGTTTGTGTTTCGTTTGTGTTTCGTTTGTTTCGTTTGTGTTTCGTTTGTTTCGTTTGTGTTTTGTTTGTTTGTTTTGTTTGTGTTTGTTTGTGTTTCGTTTGTTTCTTTTGTGTTTCTTTTGTGTTTCGTTTGTTTCGTTTGTGTTTCGTTTGTTTCTTTTGTGTTTCGTTTGTGTTTTGTTTGTTTTTGTTTGTGTTTTGTTTGTGTTTCGTTTGTGTTTCGTTTGTGTTTCATTTGTGTTTCGTTTGTTTCATTTGTGTTTCGTTTGTTTCGTTTGTGTTTTGTGTTTCGTTTGTTTCGTTTGTGTTTCGTTTGTGTTTCATTTGTGTTTTCGTTGTTTCGTTTTGTGTTGTTTTGTTTTCGTTTGTGTTTCGTTTGTTTCGTTTGTGTTTCGTTTGTTTCGTTTGTGTTTCGTTTGTTTTCGTTTTGTGTTTTGTTTTGTTTCGTTTGTTTTCGTTTTGTTTCGTTTCGTTTTGTGTTTCGTTTGTTTCGTTTTGTTTTCGTTTGTGTTTCGTTTGTTTCGTTTGTTTCGTTTGTTTGTTTCGTTTGTTTTTTGTGTTTTCGTTTGTGTTTCGTTTGTGTTTCGTTTTTGTTCGTTTTTTTTTGTTGTTTCGTTTTTTCGTTTGTTTTTGTTTGTTTTTGTGTTTCGTTTTTTCGTTTGTTTTTGTTTGTTTCGTTTGTTTCATTTGTGTTTTGTTTGTTTCGTTTGTGTTTCGTTTGTTTTGTTTGTTTCGTTTGTGTTTCGTTTGTTTCATTTGTTTCGTTTGTGTTTCGTCTGTTTCATTTGTTTCGTTTGTGTTTCGTTTGTTTCATTTGTTTCGTTTGTGTTTCGTTTGTTTCGTTTGTTTCTTTTGTGTTTCGTTTGTGTTTTGTTTGTTTCGTTTGTGTTTCGTTTGTTTCTTTTGTGTTTCGTTTGTTTCGTTTGTGTTTCGTTTGTGTTTCGTTTGTTTTCGTTTGTTTCGTTTGTTTCGTTTGTGTTTCGTTTGTTTTCGTTTGTGTTTCGTTTGTTTCGTTTGTTTCGTTTGTGTTTGTTGTGTTTCGTTGTTTTCGTTTTTTTCGTTTGTTTCGTTTGTGTTTTGTTTGTTTCGTTTGTGTTTCGTTTGTTTCGTTTGTTTCGTTTGTTTCGTTTGTTTCGTTTGTGTTTCGTTTGTTTTCGTTTGTTTCGTTTGTGTTATTTGTTTTGTTTGTGTTTCGTTTGTTTCATTTGTTTCGTTTGTTTCGTTTGTGTTTCGTTTCGTTTGTTTCGTTTGTGTTTCTTTTGTGTGATTCTGGTTCTTGTTTGTGTTTCTGTAAAAACGCGAGTCCCGACAGACGGATCCAGACTTTTCCACAGCCTCGGGTCGTTTCTCCTCATGAGTTTTGTGGACATTCATATTTTTTTAAATAAACTCAAACGAATGAAACGAATCGTCACAAAAATCAAACACAAACGTTTCAGTCCAAGTTTCGTTCGTTCAGTCGTTTTTCAAAATAAAACCAAAAATAAGAAAATGAGAAAAAAAACTAAACAACGATTTTCTTCATTATTTGTTTCCAAAATCAAAATGAAAAAACAGATAATGGACTGAACCAGGTCCAGGACCAGACCAGAACCAGACCGAGACTGAGACCGGGACCAGACCAGGACTGAACCAATTTCAGTCCTGGTTTAGTTCTGGTTTAGTCCTGGTTTAGATCTGGTTTAGTCCAGGTTTAGTCCAGTTTTAGTCCTGGTTTAGTCTTGTTTTAGTCCATTATCTTTTTTCATTTTGGTTTTGGAAACAAATAATGAAGAAAATCGTTGTTTTGTTGTTTTGTTTCTTTGTTTTTTCATTTTTTTCTTTTTGATTTTATTTTGAAAAACACACAGATTCGTTTGTTTTTTATTTTTATTTTTTCTGTTGTTTTGAGGCTGTTTCACATTTTGACTCGTCGGCCCAAAATAAAACTGATTCGATCTTTAAAAAAAATAAAAACAAAAACAGAACCACAAAAAAAACAAACAAAACAAAACTTGAAAACACAAACGTTCGACTCCATTTCGTGTCGTTTTATTTTATTTTGAAGTTTCCTAAAAGAATCGTTAATATTTCCAAAACTGAAACGGCACAAACGAAACTTTTTGCAGCACAAACGAACGACGTGACGTGGTTTTTGTTTCAGTTTGAGTTTCAGGACGTTTCAGCTTTTACACAAATAAAAATAAAGAAGAAAAACGTGAACAGGACCAAGTTTGGGACTCGAGATTCCGGAGCCGAGCGCAGGAGGAGGAGGAGGAGGAGGAGGAGGAGGAGGAGGAGGAGGAGGAGGAGGAGGAGGAGGAGGAGGAGGAGGAGGAGGAGGAGGAGGAGGAGGAGGAGAGAGGAGGAGGAGGAGGAGGAGGAGGAGGAGGAGGAGGAGGAGGAGGAGGAGGAGGAGGAGGAGGAGGGGGGGCAGAGGTGGGGCAGGTCCGGGCAGGTGCGGCAGGTGCAGATCACTAAAGCTGCTGAGTCAGACTGAAACACACGACTCCTCCCAGTCGTGTCCTCGGGGAAGAAACGCCGCGAAACAACGAAAACATCCGGTAAAAAACGCCACCGAGTCCGAGTCAGGTCCAAGAGTCAGGTCCGAGAGTCAGAGTCAGGTCCAGAAGTCAGGTCCAAGAGAGTCAGAGTCAGGTCCGAGAGTCAGGTCCAAGAGTCAGAGTCTGAGTCAGGTCCAAGAGTCAGGTCCAAGAGTCAGAGTCTGAGTCAGGTCCAAGAGTCAGGTCCAAGAGTCAGGTCCAAGAGTCAGGTCCAAGAGTCAGAGTCTGAGTCAGGTCCAAGAGTCAGGTCCAAGAGTCAGGTCCAAGAGTCAGAGTCTGAGTCAGGTCCAAGAGTCAGGTCCAAGAGTCAGAGTCCAAGAGTCAGGTCCAAGAGTCAGAGTCTGAGTCAGGTGAGTCAGGTCCAGAGACAAAGAGGAGTCAGAGTCAGGTCCCACAAAAGAATCGAACATCTGACACTAAAACTCAGGTCAAGATCCTCGTTTGAGCAAAGATCGACATAAAACAAGAACCAAGCAGAACCTTCAGGACCTCTAGAACCTTAGACCTGGTTTAGACCTGGTTTAGACCTGGTTTAGACCTGGTTTAGTCCTGGTTTAGTCCTGGTTTAGACCTGGTTTAGACCTGGTTTAGACCTGGTTTAGACCTGGTTTAGACCTGGTTTAGACTGGTTTAGTCCTGTTTAGTCCTGGTTTAGACCTGGTTTAGACCTGGTTTAGACCTGGTTTAGACCTGGTTTAGACCTGGTTTAGACCTGGTTTTCTCCATCTCCTCCGTCTCGTTTCTTTCTTGCATTTGTCTCATCTTTGTTTTTCGGTTTCAGGAGACGTTAAAGTCAAAGAGAAACGTCTGAAGCCCCTGAAGCTCAAACCGGTCCCGCCCCCGAGCGTCCTGATTGGTCCAGAGCCTCCGCCGAGCCGTCCCATTGGCTCCAAGTCCCGAGGCAGCGCTCTGATTGGACGAGAGACGGAGACAGAGACGATCCTGGACCTGTTTAAGACCGAGTCACAGGACCACAAAGAACCAGGTCAGAACCAGGACTAAACCAGGTCTAAACCAGGTCTAAACCAGGTCTAAACCAGGTCTAAACCAGGACTAAACCAGGTCTAAACCAGGACTAAACCAGGTCTAAACCAGGACTAGGACCAGGACTAAACCAGGACTAAACCAGGTCTTAAACCAGGACTAAACCAGGACTAAACCAGGACTCTAAACCAGGTCTAAACCAGGTCTACTAAACCAGGACCAGGACTCTAAACCAGGACTAAACCAGGTCTAAACCAGGACTAAACCAGGACTAAACCAGGTCTAAACCAGGACTAAACCAGGACTAAACCAGGACTAAACCAGGACTAAACCAGGACTAAACCAGGACTAAACCAGGACTAAACCAGATAAACCAGGTCTAAACCAGGTAAACCAGGACTAAACCAGGTAGGACCAGGACTAACCAGGACTAACCAGGACTAAATCCTGGTTTAGTCCTGGTTTAGTCCTGGTTTAGTCCTGGTTTAGTCCTGGTTTAGTCCTGGTTCAGTCTGAGGGTTTAAACACAGAGGGTCTGGATCAGACGGTCTAAAGCCTCAGTCTGGGACCTGATGAGAGGGTTTGAACAGACGCGCCGGATGACAGGTCTGGAGCGGGACTATAACCGGACTAAAGCGGGACTAAAGCGGGTCTGAGGCGGGACTAAAGCCGGACTAAAGGGAGACTCAAAAAAACCTGTAATTATTAAAGGACGACGGGTTATTAGAGACGCACACGAGTCATTAGACGAAGACGATAAAGACGAAGACGAGGACCGGGGGGGGGGGGCTGTGACTCAGGCGGGACTCACAAAGAGACCAAGACCAGACCAGAGACCAAACCAGACCCTAGACCGGACCCCAGGACTAAACCAGGACTGTGGGAGACACGAGTCATTAGAGGAAGACGAGGACGAGGGGGGAGGGGCTGTGACTCAAGCGGGACTCACCGGGACCCGGACTAGACCAGAGACCAGACCCAGACCCTAGACCAGACCCAGACCAGAGACCAGACCCAGACCAGAGACCAGACCCAGACCCAGACCAGACCAGACCCAGACCCTAGACCAGACCCAGACCAGAGACCAGACCCCAGACCAGAGACCAGACCCAGACCAGAGACCAGACCCAGACCAGAGACCAGACCCAGACCAGACCAGACCCAGACCAGACCCAGACCAGAGACCAGACCAGAGACCAGACCCAGACCAGACCCAGACCAGACCAGAGACCAGACCCAGACCAGAGACCAGACCAGACCAGACCAGACCAGACCAGAGACCAGACCCAGACCAGAGACCAGACCCAGACCAGAGACCAGACCAAGACCAAGACCAGAGACCAAGACCAAGACCCAGACCAGAGACCAGACCCAGACCAGACCCAGAGACCAGAGACCAGAGACCCAGACCAGACCAGACCAGAGACCAGAGACCAGAGACCAAGAGACCAGACCAGACCAAGACCAGACCAGAGACCAAGACCCAGACCAGAGACCAAGACCAAGACCCAGACCAGAGACCAGAGACCAGAGACCAGAGACCAGACCCAGACCATGGACCCAGAGACCAGACCCAGACTATGGACCCAGACCAGACCCAAGACCAGACCCAAGACCAGACCCTAGACCAGACCCTAGACCAGACCCTAGACCAGACCCTTGGCCAGACCCAGACTATGGACCAAGAACAGATTAGAGCCCGACCGATATATTGACCGATATTATCGGCCGATATGGGTATCTGTAGTCATATCAGCTATCGGCCGATATGTTTGCTGATATGGGCCGATATTTCCCGTGGTCATGTGATACGTCGTTATAAATCTTCGACTCTCGACATTCTGTTCATTTAATCCAATTTACACACAGATAAATGTTCAAATATGTGACTCTGCATCAGGATTTATCTACAGAAACATGTGTGTGTGTGTGTGTGTGTGTGTGGTGTGTGTGTGTGTGTGTGTGTGTATGTGTGTGTGTGTGTGTGTGTGTGTGTGTGTGTATAGTGTGTGTGTGTGTATAGTGTGTGTGTGTGTGTGTGTATAGTGTGTGTGTGTGTGTGTGTGTGTGTGTGTGTGTGTGTGTATAGTGTGTGTGTGTGTATAGTGTGTGTGTGTGTGTGTGTGTGTGTGTGTGTGTGATAGTGTGTGTGTGTGTGTGTGTGTGTGTGTATAGTGTGTGTGTGTGTATAGTGTGTGTGTGTGTGTGTGTGTGTGTAGTGTGTGTGTGTGTATAGTGTGTGTGTGTGTATAGTGTGTGTGTGTGTGTATAGTGTGTGTGTGTGTGTGTGTGTTGTGTGTGTATAGTGTGTGTGTGTGTGTGTGTATAGTGTGTGTGTGTGTGTGTGTGTGTATAGTGTGTGTGTGTGTGTGTGTGTATGTGTGTGTGTGTGTGTGTGTATAGTGTGTGTGTGTGTAGTGTGTATAGTGTGTGTGTGTGTGTGTGTATAGTGTGTGTGTGTGTGTGTGTATAGTGTGTGTGTGTGTGTGTGTGTGTATAGTGTGTGTGTGTGTGTGTGTGTGTGTATAGTGTGTGTGTGTGTGTGTGTGTGTATAGTGTGTGTGTGTGTGTATAGTGTGTGTGTGTGTGTATAGTGTGTGTGTGTGATAGTGTGTGTGTGTGTGTATAGTGTGTGTGTGTGTGTGTGTGTATAGTGTGTGTGTGTGTGTGTGTGTGTGTATAGTGTGTGTGTGTGTGTGTGTGTGTGTGTGTGTATAGTGTGTGTGTGTGTGTGTGTGTGTGTATAGTGTGTGTGTGTGTGTGTATAGTGTGTGTGTGTGTGTGTATAGTGTGTGTGTGTGTGTGTGTGTGTATAGTGTGTGTGTGTGTGTGTGTGTGTATAGTGTGTGTGTGTGTGTGTGTGTGTGTGTGTATAGTGTGTGTGTGTGTGTGTGTGTATAGTGTGTGTGTGTGTGTGTGTGTGTGTGTGTGTGTGTATAGTGTGTGTGTGTGTGTGTGTGTGTATAGTGTGTGTGTGTGTGTGTGTGTGTGTATAGTGTGTGTGTGTGTGTGTGTGTGATAGTGTGTGTGTGTGTGTGATAGTGTGTGTGTGTGTGTGTGTGTGTATAGTGTGTGTGTGTGTGTGTGTGTGTGTATAGTGTGTGTGTGTGTATAGTGTGTGTGTGTGTGTGTGATAGTGTGTGTGTGTGTGTGTGTGTGTGTGTATAGTGTGTGTGTGTGTGTGTGTGTGTGTGTGTGTGTGTGTGTGTGTGTGTGTGTGTGTGTGTGTGTGTGTGTGTGTGTGTATAGTGTGTGTGTGTGTGTGTGTGTTTGTTCACACTCACACACACAGATCCAAACACTGAGATTATTTTCTTTTTACAGTCGGTTTGAGTCTGGATTAAAAGGACATTTATTAGTTCAGACTTGTGATGTGGGAGGAGCCTGTGTGATGTGGGAGGAGCCTGTGTGATGTGGGAGGAGCCTGTGTGATGTGTGAGGAGCCTGTGTGATGTGGGAGGAGCCTGTGTGATGTGGGTGTAGTGAGTGTGTGTGAGTCTGAGTGTTGAAATGTGTCGACTTTGAAACTGGTTTTGTTTATTTGTTTATTGTTTATTGATGATCTGTGATTATATTGTTTGTATATTTGTTTCTGCAGCTGCACTGATGTAAATGAGCTGTGAACAGAAGTGTGAATGATCAACATTTACACATGTCGTTAATGACCGCGGCGGTGCAGCGTTTACGACTAAAGACTAACTGTGGTAGTTTAGTTTCTTGACTCTCTAGTCGTGATGAGTCGGTCGGGAGTCGTGTTTTCTTTTTCTCTCACTTTTTTTCTCTTCTCGTCGTGTTCAGACTCGTGGGAGTTTGACAGCGACTCAAAACCAAACTTTCAAAAATACACGTGTGCAGAGGAATATGCATAAATATATTCAGCATAAAATAAATAAACCAAGACTAATCTTGGGTCGAGAGACAGAGACCGAGTCCCGACACTCAGTCCTCCTGGTTCAGTTCTGCTTTAGTCCTTTGACATATCATGTGAAGAGGCAGAAGAACAATAAATGTTTCCTAAATAAACCCAGTTTAAAATCCACCAGAGCCAAACCAAAGTTTTTAAAAAAAAATAATTCAACATTTACAGTGAATTTTTATGTCACTAAATATATCGGTGATTATATCGGCAGCTCCAACTCCAGTTATATCGGTTTCATATCAGCCACAGCAAAATCCATATCGGTCGGGCTCTAGACAAGACCCAAGACCAGACCCAGACTATGGACCAAGACCAGACCCAGACCCAGACTATGGACCAAGACCAGACCCAGACCCAGACTATGGACCAAGACCAGACCCTAGACCAGACCCAGACCCAGACTATGGACCAAGACCAGACCCTAGACCAGACCCAGACCCAGACTATGGACCAAGACCAGACCCAGACTATGGACCAAGACCAGACCCTAGACCGACGACCCTAGACCAGACCTAGACTATGGACCAAGACTAAACCCCAGACTATGGACCAAGACCAGACTATGGACTAAAGTCTGAAATGTCGGGGCCCAAACGAACGTCTTGTGTGGTTTTGAACTTAAGGCTGGTTTTTGTGCCCAGGTTTGGGCGAGAGGAACTCGGTGGAGCAGAAGTTCACCAACGACGTGATGGAGAAATGGGAGAAGCAGCAGAAGAGAAAAGAAGAAGCTCGAAGAAGAAAGAAGAGAAAGAGAGAAAAACAGAAGAGGAGAGAAGAACAGGCTCTGAAAATACAGGTCTGAACCAGGACTAGACCAGGACTAGACCAGGACTAGACCAGGACTAGACCAGGACTAGACCAGGACTAGACCAGGACTAGACCAGGACTAGACCAGGACTAGACTAGACCAGGACTAGACCAGGACTAGACCAGGACTAGACCAGGACTAGACCAGGACTAGACCAGGACTAGACCAGACCAGGACTAGACCAGGACTAGACCAGGACTAGACCAGGACTAGACCAGGACTAGACCAGGACTAGACCAGGTCTAAACTGATGTTCCAGGTGAAGAAGCAGGAGAGTCGGTGGAAGCAGATGGAGGTGGAGCTGAGTGAACAGGAAGAGGCGGAGCTCCGGAAGGCGGAGGAGGAAGTGCAGGTGTGGCTCCGAGGAGACGTGTTCGAAATGAAAACACACGAAGAAGAAACGACCGAGCCTGGACCAGAGTCCTGGACCAGAGTCTGGACCCGAGTCTGGACCCGAGTCTGGACCCGAGCTTGGACCAGAGTCTGGACCAGAGTCTGGACCTGAGTCTGGACCCGAGTCTGGACCAGTCTGGACCTGAGTCTGGACCTGAGTCTGGACCTGAGTCCTGGACCTGAGCCTGGACCCATCCCCACTCCCCCGACCCAAGAGGGCACAGCTGAGGGTGAGACCTGCTTTAGTCTTGGATTTAGTCCTAGTTTAGTCTGGGTTTAGTCTCAGACTTAGTCTTGGGTTTAGTTCTGGTTTAGTCCTGGTTTAGACCTGGTTTAGATCTGGTTTAGACCTGGTTTAGACCTGGTTTAGTCCTGGTTTAGACCTGGTTTAGACCTGGTTTAGATCTAGATTAGACCTGGTTTAGATCTGGGTTAGACCTGGTTTAGACCTGGTTTAGATCTGGTTTAGACCTGGTTTAGACCTGGTTTAGACCTGGTTTAGATCTGGGTTAGACCTGGTTTACCTGGTTTAGACCTGGTTTAGATCTGGGTTAGACCTGGTTTAGATCTGGTTTAGACCTTAAATAAAAATCAAAACCTTCTCATTTCTGATCCAAACTTTAGAAACTGATGGGAACTATGAGGAGATCTTTGAGGACCCGGACCTGGACCCGGACCTGGACCCGGACCTGGACCCGGACCTGGACCCGGACCCGTCCGCGGACCGGGCCGGACTCCCTCCGGGCTGTGACATCTCTGACGTGACGGCGTCGTGCGAAAACGCCAAACTGCAGCACTTCCCTCCTCTGTCCATCCCGGAGCTCAAGTCCCTGAGCCTCGAAGGTCAGTCCGGGTCCAGACCAGAGGGACCCGACTTCCCCCCAGGTCGTCTCCGTCGGCGACAGAAACACGTGTCGTTGACGGTGACGCTTTTCTCGCTTCTGCAGGAAACAACATCAGCACCATCCCCCCCGAGGCTTTTAACGGAATCCCAAATCTGGAGTGGATAAACCTGAAGAAGAACCGGCTCACGTCCGCAGGAATCCACCCGCTCGCCTTCACGGTCAGACATCTTTGTAGTCTTTAACACCAGAGCTGCAGACATCTTTGTAGTCTTTAGTACAAGTGCTTCAGACATCTTTGTAGTCTTTAAACACGAGAGCTTCAGACATCTTTGTAGTCTTTAACACGAGAGCTGCAGACATCTTTGTAGTCTTTAACACAAGAGTTGCAGACATCTTTGTAGTCTTTAAAAAAAGAGCTTCAGACATCTTTGTAGTCTTTAACACGACAGCTTCAGACATCTTTGTAGTCTGTAATACAAGTGCTTCAGACATGTTTGTAGTCTTTAACACGAGAGCTTCAGACATGTTTGTAGTCTTTAGAACAAGAGCTTCAGACATGTTTGTAGTCTTTAGAACAAGAGCTTCAGACATGTTTGTAGTCTTTAATACGAGAGCTTCAGACATGTTTGTAGTCTTTAGTACGAGAGCTTCAGACATGTTTGTAGTCTTTAACATGAGAGTTGCAGACATCTTTGTAGTCTTTAATACAAGAGCATCAGACATGTTTGTAGTCTTTAATACAAGAGCGTCAGACATCTTTGTAGTCTTTAGTACAGGAGCTTCAGACATCTTTGTAGTCTTTAACACCAGAGCGTCAGACATCTTTGTAGTCTTTAACACGAGAGCTTCAGACATGTTTGTAGTCTTTAGTTTAAGAGCGTCAGACATATTTGTAGTCTTTAGTTTAGTCCGGGTCTATAACCGGTTTTGTGGGTCTCAGAGGCTGAAGTTCCTGACACGGTTGTACCTGGACGGGAACCTCCTGGAGACGGTTCCTTCTGGAATCCCCTCGACGCTCCAGGAACTGAAGATCAACGAGAACCTGCTCCAGAGCATCCAGGAGACCAGCCTCAAAGGTCTGAACCAGGACTGAACCAGGACTGGACCAGGACTGGACCAGGACTGAACCAGGACTGGACCAGGACTGGACCAGGACTGACCAGACTGGACCAGGACTAAACCAGAACTGACAGGACTGGACCAGAACTGGATCAGGACTGGACCAGGACTGGACCAGGACTGGACCAGGACTGGATCAGGACTAAACCAGGACTGGACCAGGACTGGACCAGGACTGGACCAGGACTAAACCAGGACTAAACCAGGACTGAACCACGACTGAACCAGGACTAAAACAGGACTGAACCAGGACTCGACCAGGACTAAACCAGGACTGGACCCGGACTGAACCAGGACTAAAACAGGACTGAACCAGGACCGAACCAGGACTAAACCAGGACTGAATGAGAACTGGACCAGCAGTAAACTACACAGCAAAAACTGGAGGGTTAAAATTCCAGGGTAAAATATTTCAGAGTTGTTTTTAACCCAAAAAGTGTTATTTTAACTCTCTGAAAGTTAAATGTGTGTTGGACTTGGAGTTATTTGCCAGAGTTGATTTGGTTGAAGTTAATTCAACTTCCTCTAGTGTTAATTCAACTTCTCTAGTGTTAATTCAACTTCCTTAGTGTTAATTCAACTTCTCTTAGTGTTAATTCACTTCCACTAGTGTTAATTCAACTTCCTCTAGTGTTAATTCAACTTCTCTTAGTGTTAATTCAACTTCCACTAGTGTTAATTCAACTTCCTCTAGTGTTAATTCAACTTCTCTTAGTGTTAATTCAACTTCCACTAGTGTTAATTCAACTTCTCTTAGTGTTAATTCAACTTCCTCTAGTGTTAATTCAACTTCTCTTAGTGTTAATTCAACTTCCACTAGTGTTAATTCAATTTCCTCTAGTGTTAATTCAACTTCTAGTGTAATTCAACTTCTTTAGTGTTAATTCAACTTCCTCTAGTGTTAATTCAACTTCCTGTGTGTTAATTCAACTTCCTGTAGTGTTAATTCAACTTCTTTTAGTGTTAATTCAACTTCCTCTAATGTTAATTCATTCTTTAGTGTTAATTCAACTTCCTCTAGTGTTAATTCAACTTCCTCTAGTGTTAATTCAACTTCCTTTAGTGTTAATTCAACTTCTCTTAGTGTTAATTCAACTTCTTTTCCCAGTTTTGTTCATAATTTCATTTAAAATTAACTCTAATGAAGTGTAAAAACAAAACTCCTCTGTGTGTTGTTGAGTTAAATCAGAATAACTCTACACAGTGTTATCCGTTTACTCTCAAAATGTTCATAAAACTCTGGATTTTCGGGGTTAAAAAAAAGAACTCTGGTCCAGTGTTACTGAATGATGAACGTTTCCGAAAGTGTCAAATGAACTCTAGACCAGACTGGACTCGTGTAAACTCTGAGGGAGTGTTAAAGGTGTGACCCGGTGCGCGTGTGCAGGTCTGAGCAGTCTGGTCACTCTGGAGCTGGAGGGGAACAGGCTCAGTGAAGGAGGCGTCAGTCACGGAGCGTTCAACGACCTGACTGAACTCACCTACCTACGACTCGGGAGGAACCACTTCAGGGCCGTGCCTCAGGGTCTGCCGCCGACGCTACAGGTCAGTGAGTCAGGTCTTCCGACGCTACAGGTCAGTGAGTCAGGTCCTCCGACGCTACAGGTCAGTGAGTCAGGTCCTCCGACGCTACAGGTCAGTGAGTCAGGTCCTCCGACACTACAGGTCAGTGAGTCAGGTCCTCCAACGCTACAGGTCAGTGAGTCAGGTCCTCCGACGCTACAGGTCAGTGAGTCAAGTCCTAAACCTCACAAACATAAACTACAGGTCAGAGAGTCGAGTCCTATAACGCTACAGGTCAGTAAGTCAGGTCCTCCAATTCTACAGGTCAGTGAGTCAGGTCCTCCGACGCTACAGGTCAGTGAGTCAGGTCCTCCGATGCTACAGGTCAGTGAGTCAGGTCCTCCGACGCTACAGTCAGAGAGTCAAGTCCTCTAACGCTACAGGTCAGAGAGTCAGGTCCTCTGACGCTACAGGTCAGAGAGTCAAGTCCTCTAACGCTACAGGTCAGTGAGTCAGGTCCTCCGACGCTACAGGTCAGTGAGTCAGGTCCTCCAACGCTACAGGTCAGTGAGTCAAGTCCTAAACTTCACAAACATAAACTACAGGTCAGAGAGTCAGGTCCTCCGATGCTACAGGTCAGAGTCAGGTCCTCCAACGCTACAGGTCAGAGAGTCAAGTTCTCGTTCTCGTGCGTCACTCGTCAGTGACTCGTGTGTGACTCGTGTGTGACTCGTGTGTGACTTCTGGTCGTGTGCAGGAGCTGCACCTGGAGCACAATCGGATCGAGGAGATTTCTGAGACGGTTTTTAACCAAACTCAGAGTTTAACTTTGATCTCACTGAGGAACAACAAACTGGAGGAGAGTCGCATCGCCCCACGAGCCTGGATCCACCACAGGTACCACCCACACCTGTACCACCCACACCTGTACCACCCACACCTGTACCACCCACACACCTGTACCACCCACACACCTGTACCACCCACACACCTGTACCACCCACACACACTGTACCACCCACACACCTGGACCACCCACACACCTGGACCCACCACACACTGTACCACCCACACCTGTACACCCCCACACCTGGACCACCCACACACCTGTACCACCCACACACCTGTACCACCCACACACCTGTACCACCCACACCTGTACCCACCCACACACCTGGACCACCCACAGGTACCACCCACACACCTGTACCACACACACCTGTACCACCCACACACCTGGACCCACCCACACACACACCTGTACCACCCACACACCTGTACCACCCCACACACCTGGACCACCCACACACCTGTACCACCCACACACCTGTACCCACCACACACCTGTACCACCCACACACCTGTACCACCCACACACCTGTACCACCCACACACCTGGACCACCCACACACCTGTACCACCCACACACCTGGACCACCCACACACCTGTACCACCCACACACCTGTACCACCCACACACCTGGACCACCCACACACCTGTACCACCCACACACCTGGACCACCCACACACCTGTACCACCCACACACCTGGACCACCCACACACCTGGACCACCCACACACCTGTACCACCCACACACCTGGACCACCCACACACCTGGACCCACCCACACACCTGGACCCACCCACACACCACCTGGACCCACCACACCACACACTGGACCCACCACACCCACCCACACACCTGGACCCACCCACACACCTGTACCACCCACACACACCTGTACCACCCACACACCTGGACCACCTGACCACCCACACACCTGTACCACCCACACACCTGGACCCACCCACACACCTGTACCACCCACACACCTGGACCCACCCACACACCTGTACCACCCACACACCTGTACCACCTGTACCACCCACACACCTGGACCCACCACAGGTACCACCCACACACCTGTACCACCCACGCTCTGAACCGCGCTCCACCGACTCAAACCAGTGTTTCAAGTTTTTTTTTTTTCTGGGGACTCGTATTTTAAAAGTCACAAACCTTCACGACCCAAATCCACAGACGTTATTCATAAATCACAAAATGAAGGTGGACTTTTTCCTTACTGAACATTCATGAGGAGGTTTTATTTTCGACTGACTGATCGTGTCTCTGAACATTTAGTTTTACTCAAGTTTGAAACGTGAAAGTGAAAAACCGTCACTGAAGAAGCGAAAAAAACATGGAACAAAAAAAGTCCATAAAATAATTACAAAAAGGAAGTCAGGGAAAGTCAGGGAGAGTCAGGGAGAGTCAGTCAGGGAGAGTCAGGGAGCAGGGAGAGTCAGGGAGAGTCAGGGAGAGTCAGGGAGCCGGAGAGCCAGGGGACCAGGGGGACTAGAGGGACCAGGGGGACTAGGGGGACTAGAGGGACCAGAAGGACCAGAGGGACCAGAGGGACTAGAGGGACTACAGGGACCAGAGGGACCAGGGGACTAGGGACTAGAGGGACCAGAAGGACCAGAGGGACTAGGGGACTAGAGGGACAGGGGACTAGAAGGACCAGGGGACAGGGGACCAGGGGACTAGAGGGACCAGAGGGACCAGGGGGGGGGACTAGAGGGACCAGGGACTAGGGGACTAGAGGACCAAGGGGACCAGGGGGACTAGAGGGGACAGGGGACTAGAGGGGACTAGAGGGGGACTAGGGGGACCAGGGGGACTAGAGGGACCAGGGGGACTAGGGGGACTAGAGGGACCAGGGGGACTAGAGGGACCAGGGGACCAGGGACCAGGGGGACTAGAGGGACCAGGGGACTAGAGGGACCAGGGGGACTAGAGGGACCAGGGGGACTAGGGGACCAGGGGACCAGAGGGACCAGGGGACTAGAGGGACCAAGGGGACTAGGGGGACCAGAGGGACCAGGGACTAGAGGGACCAGGGGGACTATGGGGACCAGAGGGACCAGAAGGACCAGAGGGACCAGGGGGACTAGAGGGACCAGGGGGACTATGGGGACCAGAGGGACTAGAGGGACCAGGGGGACTCGGAGGACCAGGGGGACTTGGAGGACCAGGGGCACTAGGTCAGGTCTGCTCTTTGATTGACAGCTCAGCTCTGTATAAAATCAGAAACATCATTCACAAAACACACGGTTTTACTTTCCAACGTCGGGACGATTGGGCAGGTTTCCTCAGAAAACCTACAGAACTACACTACAGAAGTGTTTAAACTAAAGTGGTCTTGGTGTCTCTCCTCTCTCGTCGCCCCTCAGGTCCCTCGAGTCCTTGGACCTGTCTCATAACGAGCTGCACCTGGTCCCGTCGTTCCTGCCTCGGTCTCTGGTTCATCTGGTGCTGGTGGGAAACCACATCGAGAGGATCCCAGGTGCAAACCCACCTCACCTCAACACGAGCTCCAAATGTCTGTGTCTGTGTGCGGTCCTCAGCGGTTGTTGTGTGGTCCTGAGTGGTTGTGTGTCGTTGTTGTGTGGTTGTTGTGCGGTTGTTGTGTGGTTGTTGTTGTGGTCCTGAGCGGTTGTTATGTGGTCCTGAGCGGTTGTGCGGTTGTTGTGTGGTTGTTGTACGGTCCTGAGCGGTTGTTGTGTGGTCCTGAGTGGTTGTGTGGTTGTTGTGTGGTCCTGAGTGGTTGTGTGGTTGTTGTATGGTTGTTGTGTGGTCCTGAGCGGTTGTTATGTGGTCATGAGCGTTTGTGTGGTTGTTGTGCGTCCTGAGCGTTGTGTGTGTTGTGGTGGTTGTTGTGCGGAGTTGTGTGGTTGTTGTGTGGTTGTTGTGCGGTCTGAGCGGTTGTTGTGTGGTCCTGAGTGGTTGTGTGTTGTTGTTGTTGTTGTGTGGTCCTGAGCGGTTGTTATGCGGTCCTGAGTGGTTGTTGTGCGGTCCTGAGCGGTTGTTGTGTGTGTGAGTGGTTGTTGTGTGGTCCTGAGTGGTTGTTGTGTGGTCCTGAGTGGTTGTTGTGTGGTCCTGAGCGGTTGTGTTGTTGTTGTGTGGTTGTTATGTGGTCCTGAGCGGTCGTTGTGTGGTCCTGATTGGTTGTTGTGTGGTTGTTGTGTTGTTGTTGTGTTGTTGTTGTGTGGTTGTTGTGCGGTCCTTGTGTGGTCCTGATTGGTTGTTGTGTGGTTGTTGTGTTGTCGAGTGTTGTTGTGTGGTCCTGAGCGGTTGTGTTGTTGTTGTGGTTGGTTGCGTGTGTGTTGTGTGGTCCTGAGGTTGTTGTGTGTTGTTGTTGTTCCTGTGGTGTTGTGTGGTTGTTGCGGTTGTTGTGTGGTTGTTGTGTTGTTGTGTTGTTGTGTTGTGCGGTCCTGAGTGGTTGTTGTGTGGTTGTGTGGTTGTTGTGTGGTTGTTGTGCGGTCCTGAGTTGGTTGTTGTGTGGTGGTTGTTGTGCGGTCCTGTGTTGTGTTGTTGTGGTTGTGTTGTGTGTGTTGTTGTGTGTTGTGTTGTGTTGTCCTGTTGTGTGGTCGTTGTGTTGTTGGGTTGTTGGTTGTGTTTGTTGTGTGTTGTGTTGTTGTGTGTGTTGTTGTGCGGTTGAGTGGTTGTTTTGTGTGGTTGTTGTTGCGGTCCTGAGTTGTGCGGTTGTTGTGTGTCCTGAGTGGTTGTGTTGTTGTGCGGTTGTTGTGTTGGTGTTGTGTTGTTGTTGTGCGGTCCTGAGCGGTTGTTGTGCGGTGTGTGGTTGTTGTGTGGTTGAGTGGTTGTTGTGGTGTGGTGTTGTTGTGTGTGTTGTGTGTGTTGTGTGTTGTGTGGTTGTGTGTTGTTGTGTGGTGTTGTGCGTCCTGAGCGGTTGTGCGGTTGTTTTGTGCGGTTCCGTGTTGTGTTCCGTGGGTTGCGTACTGGTTGTTTGGTTGTGTTGTTGTGTGGTCGTGTTTGTGGTTGTTGTGTGTGGTCCTGAGTGGTTGTTGTGTTGTTGTTGTGTTGTTGTTGTGTGGTTGTTGTGTGGTTGTTGTGCGGTCCTGAGCGGTTGTGTTGTTGTTGTGTCGTTGTTGTGTGGTTGTTGTGTTGTTGTTGTGTTGTTGTTGTTGTGGTCGTTGTGTGTGGTTGTGTGTGGTTGTTGTTGTGTTGTTGTTGTTGTTGTTGTGTTGTTGTGTGGTTGTTGTGTGTTGTGTGTGTTGTTGTTGTGTTGTTGTTGTGCAGTTGTTGTGCGGTCGTTGTGCGGTCCTGAGCGGTTGTGCGGTTGTTTTTGTGGCAGGTTACGTGTTCGCGCACATGTCTCCGGGGCTGCAGTACTTGTATCTGTCGTACAACAAACTGGACGGCGAAGGATTCGAGCCCGAGTCGTTTCTGGGGACGTACGAGTCGATGGTGGAACTTTGTCTGGATCATAACCAGATCCTCCAGGTCCCGTCGGGAATCAACGAGATGATCGACCTGCACTTCCTCCGCCTCGACCACAACCGCATCAGGTACGACCCGACTCCCCCCGACCCGACTCACACCGACCTGCACTTCCTCCGCCTCGACCACAACCGCATCAGGTACGACCCGACTCCCCCCGACCCGACTCACACCGACCTGCACTTCCTCCGCCTCGACCACAACCGCATCAGGTACGACCCGACTCCCCCCGACCCGACTCACACCGACCTGCACTTCCTCCGCCTCGACCACAACCGCATCAGGTACGACCCGACTCCACCCGACCCGACTCACACCGACCTGCACTTCCTCTTTAAAACTTTAATGTGAAGAGATTTTTTTTAGATCTGGTCCGATACCGATACTTGGCCTTCGTGGACTCACCGATACCGATACCAGTCCCGATACCGCAAAGTTATGTTGAAGTCAAGACCACAGCAAGACAAGACCAAGACCAGGACAAGACCACAAGGTCCAGAGACCAAAACAAGACCGAGACCTTTGAGGGTCGAGACCAAGACAAGACCGAGACCAGGACAAGACCACAGGGTCCCAAGGCCAGGACAAGACCAAGACCTTTGAGGGTCGAGGCTGAGACAAGACTGAGACCGAAACAAGACCGAGAAAAGACCAAGACCTTTAAAGACTTTTGAGGGTCGAAACCAAGACAGGACCAAGACAACACTGAGACTTTTAAAGGTTGAGACTGAGACAAGATCAAGACCGAGACAAGACCGAGACCAAGACAAGACCGAGACCGAGACGAGACCAAGACCTCTAAGGGATGAGACCAAGACAAGACCAAGACTTTTAAAGGTCGAGACCGAGACAAGACCGAGACTTTCAAAGGCTGAGACCAAGACAAGACCAAGACAAGACTGAGACCTCTGAGGGTCGAGACCGAGACAAGACTAAGACTTTTAAAGATCGAGACAAGACCGAGACCTTTGAGGGTCGAGACCAAGACAAGACCGAGACTTTTAAAGGTCAAGATCGAGACAAGACCGAGACTTTTTAAGGTTGAGACCAAGACAAGACCAAGAAAAGACCGAGACAAGACCGAGACTTTTAAAGACCGAGACAAGACCGAGACCTCTGGGGGTCGAGACCAAGACAAGACTAAGACTTTTAAAGATCGAGACAAGACCGAGACTTTTAAAGACCGAGACAAGACCGAGACTTTTAAAGATCGAGACAAGACCGAGACTTTTAAAGGTCGAGACCGAGACAAGACCGAGTCCACGGCCCATCGAGACCAAATCAAAACCATCTTTGTCATTTCCTACATTTATTTGTATTTTACAGAGATTTTTAACAAATTTTTTTATATCAATGTTTTTAAAATCTGTCTCCAGTTGATCTGGTTAAAGTTCATTTCTCTCGAGTCTCGAGTCCGACTCTAGTCCAGAGTTTACGGCCACGCGATTTTATTACAGCACAAGAGAAAAAAATAAATCTCCTAAAAGTCTGTTTTTAATGAATAAATAAAAACATTTGAAGAATAAAGTTTTAGTAAAATGTTTTGATGTGAAGCTTTAAACTTTTACTTTTCCACTTTTCACCACAGAGTCTTTAACAGATCCTTGCTCGGTGGTTTGATCTGAGTATCGGTATCGGTATCGGAGTCAGTTTATATATATATAAAAAAAATCTAAATCAGTCGATGATCTGCTCTGGATTCTGAAAAATCTTTATCGGCCATGAAAAAAAAAAAAAAAAAAAAAAAACAAAACCTGAGTGGATCTTGACGCGCTGCTCATGGTCAGACTCCACTTTTTATTTTTTATTTGCTCAGTGACACGTTTTTGTTTTTTTTTACCGGTAAAGAAACACTCATCATGAGCGGGAAAAAGTTTAATGAAGCTGAAGGAAAAACTGACACGAGAAAAAGAAAAAAACTCTCAAAAAAAACTCTAAACCCCCACGAGACAAACAGACATCTGACAAAACACTAACAACACAACTCCTGTAGAGGGCGACACACACACACACACTATACACACACACACACACACTATACACACTATACACACACTATACACACACACACTATACACACACACACTATACACACACACACTATACACACACACACACACTATACACACTAAACACACACACATATACACACACACACTATACACACATATACACACTATACACACACACTATACACTATACACACACACACACTATACACACACTATACACACACACTATACACACTATACACACACTATACACACACACTATACACACTACACACACACACACACTATACACACACATACACACTACACACACTATACACACACTATACACACACACACACTATACACACACACACACTATACACACACACACACACACACACTATACACACACACACACACTATACACACTATACACACACTATACACACACACACACTATACACACACACTATACACACACTATACACACTATACACACACACACACTATATACACACACACACACACACACACACTATACACACACACACACACACTATACACACACACACACACACACACACACACTATACACACTATACACACTATACACACACACACTATACACACACACACTATACACACACACACACACACTATACACACACACACACTATACACACACACACTATACACACACACACACACACACTATACACACACACACACACACTATACACACACACACACTATACACACACACACACTATACACACACTATACACACTATACACACACTATACACACACACACTATACACACTATACACACTATACACACATACACACACTATAACACACTATACACACACATACACACTATACACACTACACACACACACACATATACACACACACACACACTATACACACTATACACACACACACACACTACACACACTATACACACACACACACTATACACACTACACACTATACACACACACACACTATACACACACACACACACACACACTATACACACACACACACACACACACACACACACACACTATACACACACACACACACACACACTATACACACACACACATATACACACACACACACACACACTATACACACACACACACACTACACACACTATACACACTATACACACACACACACTACACACACACACACACTATACACACACACACACACACACTATACACACACACACACACACACACACTATACACACACACACACTATACACACACATATACACACACACACTATACACTATACACACACACACACACACACACTATACACACACACACACACACTATACACACACACACACTATACACACACACACACTATACACACACACACACACTATACACACACACACTACACACACTACACACACTATACACACACACACACTATACACACACACACTATACACACACACTATACACACACACACACACACACTATACACACTACACACACTATACACACTATACACACACACTACACACACACACTATACACACACACACTATACACACACTATACACACACTATACACACACACTATACACACTATACACACACATACACACACTATACACACACTATACACACACACACACACTATACACACACTATACACACTATACACACTACACACACACTATACACACACACACACACTATACACACTATACACACTACACACACTATACACACACTATACACACACTATACACACTATACACACTATACACACTATACACACTACACACTATACACACACTATACACACTACACACACTATACACACACTATACACACACTATACACACACACACACACACACTATACACACTACACACACTATACACACACTATACACACACTATACACACACTACACTATACACACACACACACACACACTATACACACACACTATACACACACACTATACACACACTATACACACACACACACTATACACACACTACACACACACACTACACACACACTACACACACACTATACACACTATACACACACATACACACACTATACACACACACTATACACACTACACACACTATACACACTACACACACTATACACACTACACACACACACACACTATACACACTATACACACACACATACACACACTATACACACACACACTATACACACTACACACACACACACACACTATACACACACACACACTATACACACTACACACACTATACACACTATACACACACACACTATACACACTATACACACACACACATATACACACTATACACACACTATACACACACACACACACACACTATACACACACACACACACACACTACACTACACACACTATACACACTATACACACTATACACACACACATATACACACTACACACACACTATACACACACTATACACACTACACACACTATACACACTACACACACACACTATACACACTACACACACTATACACACACTATACACACTATACACACTACACACACTATACACACTACACACACACACACACTATACACACACTATACACACTACACACACTATACACACTACACACACTATACACACACACACACTATACACACTACACACACATACACACACACACTACACACACTCTACACACACTACACACACTATACATATATTATAAAACACAGTCCACTCAGAGACCAGAGTCCAAGACCTGTCCTCCCCTCATCCTACCTCCTATCTCCTACTTCCTATGTCCTATCTAATACCTCCTATATCCTACCTCCAATGTCCTACCTCCTACTTCCTTGCTCCTATGTCCTATATCCTACCTCCTATGTCCTATCTCCTACTTTCTATATCCTAATTACTATGTCCTACCTCCTACATCCTATGTCCTACTTCCTATATCCTCCCTCCTATGTCCTATCTCCTACCTCCTATGTCCTACCTTCTACATCCTATATCCTACCTCCTACTTCCTATGTATGTCCTACTTCCTATATCCTC